TGCAGACGCATCTAGTTAAAAGTCCCTTTTCCAACTAGTAATCTAGATGGCAACTAGTCGTGTATCGCCCGATTACAGACGAAATGTATCTAGATTTTTCCCATAGGTGATATTTGCTTGGGCATCGAAACGAATTCTATCTACGTCTACACGTAGTACAAGTCCAGATCAATAAAAGATTAGGAATCATAGAAAATGTGACATGATGTGACGACTACACCTGTATCTATTTTTACTATAATCAGAAAAAAACGAAGTATTAATAAACATAGTAGCGATTATTGCCTATTTCCAAATCGAAATCAAATGTCGGCTTTCTAACCAGCATAAAAAAGAGAAGAAAATCATTTGTTTCTGAGATGCGTATAGGAGCATAAGATCTTGTTTTAATTTTACCACGCGTTTTTTCCTCTCTACGCATTTGGTTAGAACTTTCTGTTAAGGACTATATGTCGTGCCGTTTAATCCCGTACATAAAACAATGTACGAAAACAAAGAAGTGCTGTTTTTTATCTGATCTTCAAATAGACAAGTAAAGGACTATGTTGCATAATACACTAGGATTCAACCAGTCTAGTTCTCATTTGGTTCATGATATTATCGTCATGATCGATCATTAAAATTACAATTTTAAGAGAGTCGAGTTGTAAATGATTAAACATATAATTTCAATTATTTTTAAATATGCACAGTATAAATCAGGATTAGAAAACTCAGAAACATCAGTCAAATAAGTTTCTGTCTGATACATAAGAAGCCTTTCAAAGAGGATCATGTAAGTAAAAGCGTTTAATCAGTCGCTCAGTATATTAGACGTTTGATTCCATATCTCGCCGGATTAATTTAATTTTTAGTGCTACTATTTACTTTACAATAACGATAAAAGTACATACCATACATTTAAAAAAATGGTCGTTTTCAACAAAAAAAAAGAGGACAGTAAAAGCTAGTACGCTCGGATACAAAGGAGATACATGGTTTCATTATTCTAAAGACAAGACTTCATCCTAAAATAGTTGTACACGTGCATCGATTTGGCTTTTGGTGAATATTTGAAGAAAAAATGAAGAAGAACGACAAAAAAAGCGATGAGTTTCGAAAGAAAAAAAACAGTATTAGCACGACGACGATAAGAAAAAGACGTCAGTGACGTCAGATGTTTTTAAAAATATTTGAAAAAAATTAATTAACGATTATTGCTTTTCTTTTCTTTCTTCTGCGACTAAAACAGAAAAAAAAACAAATGTTTTAAGCTTATAAAAAAAATGGAAAGTTTTAAGTATATCTATCTACATACATTTTTAATGAGAATTATTAATATTCGAACGAACAAATCGACCATATCAATAAATAACATCAATGCATCTCTAAATAAACCAAAAATTTCATCTAAATTGACATCTAACAAATGTCTTTATCTTACTTGATATAATTTGATTCACCATTTTGAGCTCGTGCAACAATTAATTGTGTATCATATAAAATATAACCACATGCAAGAGCAAGGCCAAGGTATAAATTAACCTGAAATGACATAAACCATTTCTTTCCACTATATACAACTTACACACTCTCTTACCGAATATACTTACATTAAACAATAATTCTGAACGACCGAATAAATTCATCAAACTAAGAACCAATAGGACCGATGTACCTGAGCCTAATAAACCTAGATAAGAGAAAAATAAAAATAGCATTAAATACTGATAGGAAAAGGGAAACTCTATACCTACCTCCGAGATACAAATAAGTGCGCTTTTGTGTCAATAATGCACTCAATGTAAAGCAAACAAATACACATGTTGTCAATAAGAATGCTGTCATCACTATTCTAAAAAAACAAAGGTATACATATATTAGAGCAAGTAGTCTTCTGTACTCATCAGTTATATTAAAAATAAGTCGCACAACTTTTAAGAATTTTTAACTATAGAAACTCGAGTAAATACTGTAAAACAAACAACCACAATTTATAAAGAATATAAATGAAAATTTGTGCGATAAGATCTATTTTTTTATTGTGAATAGAACATACTGTGGATCAATATTGATAGCCAAATCGATTAATGGATTTAAATAAATTCCTGTACAAAATGCCGTTGTTGCAAATAAACTGAAACATTTAATTTGATTTTGGTAATTAAATTCGGTACTAAATAACCATATTGACGATACCATACTACCCAAAACAGCCAAACGTGGATACTGAAAATAGAAGACTGAGTTATAAAAGGTATAATAACATCATAATAAATAATGATCAACAAAATTTATATATCTTTCTTAAGAAAGAAATTTATTCCAAGTCTGCGCAAAACTCAATCGACATTCTCTTCCACGTGACAGTGCAATGTGTTTAAAAAGTTGGGTATTTTTCTACGTTCATTCAAAATAAAACGAGAACTGAGGACGACATCATAAAATTTGTGTTTTCTGCTGAAACATTTAAATACATGAATTGGAAAGTTCAAATGTATTCGCTCTTACATTCATCCATCCATTTAAACTCATCCATACGCCAATTGTTGCACATAAAGTAGCAACCATCAAACATGTATAAACATTTTTCAAATGTTTTTGAGTATTTTGAGATCTAAATAAAATGAAACCAAACGTATCAGACATACATCTGTCAGAATCTTCTTATTGCTTGACTTACAAATGTGAAAAATCGCATATTGTTTCCAAGTTAAATCTTGACGATTTACCATGACCAGTAGCAGTGCTGTTGGTGTTTGAACCAAAATAATTTTCGAATAGTGAAGTCATCTAGAGAAAGTTTTTAATAAGAAATATGTCTTTCACGAGTGCGGATATCAGCAAATAGTATGTACGCTAACATGAGCAAAATACAAAATCAACTCAAGCGTTAAACAGTTCTGTTACCGGTTATTTATTTGTAGATTGAGAAAATACACCTTTTTTTCTTATTCTTTTGTTGAGCGACGTAACATGATGGGAGTGTATACCTAATTTACCAGCGAAAAGATGAATCATCAACAGACAGAAAAAAACTAATGATTGTGGGGCAGCAAAGTAAGGTAAATAACACATTTATGCACTGACCGATAAACTGCTTATGTTTACTTATAAAATTACTCTAAAATTTGTTATTTATGCAGGCAGAACAAGTCTAAATACTTTGACTGGTTAAAATTAGTTAAAGAGATTATTCAGATTCTAGGGAGCAACGACAAAAAAATATTCAGCTATGATTGTACTAATCAGAATTAACAATGAAATCGCATACGTAGACTCATCAATTCAATTTTTACACATAAGAATTAAATACTAAAAAACAAAAGTAACGACTAGAGAACGAGAAAAAATAGAAGAGAAACTATATATTTATATGAGAACATTGCATTATGCACTAAAAAAATAGCTCAATTATGTTATCTCATAGACTGCAATGTATTCGAGATTCCCGAGATGTTCCACGCTAGAAAGTACAATTAAAAATAGCTTAATTTTTGAGAAGAGTATTAACATAATGTCATGGACAAAACGAAGAGCTCAGCAAGATCCAAATTGGGATTGAAACGTTGTTATATACACTATAACAATCTGTTCCCAGTATATGACTTTGCCATTTTTACTATGTTGGTAGTATAATTAGGTCCTTATACTGCTGGTACTATGTGTAAAGGACCAATCACTAGACATCTGTGGTTATGCCTATTATCTATATCCATAAATAACCATGGACATGCGGTACATGTATTTTAGTTTTTGTCGATGGACGTGGGCATGGGTTTTTTACTCAAAAACAACAGAACGAGTTGAAAACTTCAGTATATGATTAATTTTGTTTGCTGAATGTTGCAAGAGGATTTTTACAAAACCTTCCGAAAAATCATACGGTTTTGTTAACTTGTTTTTGCAGACTTTTTGTAAATAAGGTATAGGATAATCTAAGCACTACATCATGAAGTTTTCAACTCTTTCTGATGTTTTTGGGATAATTGTGGACTTCTTAATATTAGCTGAAACCAGCCTTGAAACCCTAATTTTCGCAGAACATGGTTTCCCTCAGGATTTCACTGGTGGTGATCATGAATTATAATCGACCACTTGTGTGAAATTTTTATTACGTTTAAATGAAATAAATATGTTATTTTCAGTAGTGTATTTTACTTATATAACCAATCAGCTGCTATTGCGTCTGGTAATAAAAAAGTTTCGTAACTAACCAGCCTTATTAGAAATGGTTATGTGTACTCACGGACGCGGGTATAAGATTTTTAAATTTTTGTCACCGGTATGGACTTGGGCATGAGTATTGTTTTCGAGACTAATGAGATTGAGCATGGATAATGGGTTCGAAAAAAGTGTAGGCGCAGATGTCTACTAATTACTCTTCTTTCATTGTTCGGATGATGTGGTCTATTTTTGTTTAAACGCGAGGAATTTTAAAGAAAAGTCACTCCCGTGGCCAATAAATAAAGTTCATAAAGGTAACTTTTGTTCATTTATCTTCAAACAGGCTTCACATTACACACTTACAATTACTGGAACGCATAAAAAATTAATTTTATTACACAACGACGATCTCAGTAGAAAATATGCACGTATTCAATATGTTCCAGCCGACGCCGATTTAAAGTGAACTAGAAATCTAATGTTTGCGCATAATCGTAAATGTATCTATAAACATTATTTTATTATGATCAGATTATATTACGCAACCGCACCTTCGCTTCTTTCGATTTCCGGAACGATGACACATTCTTATATACCATCATACGTATATAGAATAATGAAAAAATGATGCAAACGAAAGGTTTTTACTCGCAGAGATGATAAAGAAGGTTGAGTAAAGGTGATGATACAGAAAGTTCATTCATAGGAACAAAAAGTTTATTATAAATAAATTCTCTTTTGCCTTCTCACTCATTAAAATACATTTTCTATGTATGTGATGTCTTACAGCATCTAAACGCATGAAACGTTAATTTTTTTCACTTCCAGTATACTGATCGAAGATTTCATAGATGTTTACTAGAAATAAATAAATAATATATAGAATAAAAAATCAAACCTAGACAGCCTTTAATGCGGAATTTTTGAAAAACGGCTCAAGTTTCAGAAGTAACTATAATGAACTAAACTAGATGTTAAAAATATATCTTCACATGGTTCATCTACAATTATTACTCTTTCCATCATTTTTCACTACAAATCTCTCCGATTATATGAATGACTGGGAACGAGTGACTGGTTAAAAAGTTGAAAGAGTGCTCGAAAAGAAATAGAAAAGATGAATTTTCTTTAATGAGAAAGTTGATCGCCAGAGCTAGTACGGTCCAGAGAGACATTCTTTATTGAAAAGTAGAAGAACACCCGCGATAGCTCAGTTGGTAGAGCGGAGGACTGTAGATGCAATGTAGCACATGTAATCCTTAGGTCACTGGTTCGACTCCGGTTCGCGGGATTTTTTTATTTTATTTCAAGAAACCATGTAATCAAAGGCTTTTTGTTGTTTATCACGAATGAGTATTTTTGCAGTACACTGGTTTCTATTAAAAACAAAAATATATTCTAGTTTTTCTGATACACACCGACAGAGTGCCAATCCATTTACTTAACTACGTACCCAGGTCGACTCTCACGGCAAAGTCGCTACGTGAGTCACGGAAAAAAGTCATGGCGTGAACGCGTAACGCGATCGCTATTGGACTCACGAAAAATGTCACGATTTTCGCGATCACTATAAACTCACGATGAAAAGCATTTTTCCAATCCACTCGCGAAACTCACGGCGTGACTCCCGCTGTCGCTGCGTGAGTCCCATGTTTTTCCCAATATTTGGACGTGAGTCCTTATTCTCGCGATGTGACTCACGAAGTCGCGACGTGAGTCCCGTTTTTTATCAAAAATTCAGCGCGACTAGCTATTGTCGCGACATGACTCCCGCTGTCGCGACGTGACTAAGCAGGG